TTTTATTTGTAAACCGGAAAGGGGGAAAAAAATACAATACTGTTATAATGCTAGTAATATGTTATTATACCAAAATATGTCAATTGGTTACCATCCATCCATCCATCCATTTTCCTCCACTTATCCGGGGTCGGGTCGTGGTGGCAACAGGCCAAGCAGGCTGACCCAGACTTCCCTCTCCCCGGCAACATGTTCCAGCTCATTCTGGGGGATCCCGAGGCGTTCCCAGGCCAGCTGGGAGATGTAATCTCTCCAGCGTGTTCTGGGTCTTCCCCGGGGTCTCTTCCCAGTTGGACGTGCCTGGAAAACCTCCAGTGGGAGGCGTCCAGGAGGCATCCTAATTAGATGCCCGAACCACCTCAGCTGACTCCTTTCGACGCAAAGGAGTAGCGGCTCGACTCCAAGCTCCCTCCTGATGACCGAGCTCCTTACCCTATCTCTAAGGCTGAGCCCGGCCACCCTACGGAGGAAGCTCATTTCGGCCGCTTGTAGCCGCGACCTTGTCCTTTCGGTCACGACCCAGAGTTCGTGACCATAGGTGAGGGTAGGAACGTAGACCGAGTGGTTGGTTACCATCCAAAAATCGTAATTGTATTACTTCTCCGTACTTATTCTAGAAAGTTACCATATTTACTTTTATGAAAACTTAAAAAAAAAACGTTTTTGTTAAAAAAAAATGTACATTTATTATTTCAGAATCACTATGTTTACCATAAAATGCTTATGAAATCATTTTGGCATATATATGATGAAATAACATTAAATGTATCGTATTTACAACACTAAATATTTCATAGAAAATACTGACTTTTATTTATGTTAACTTCGCTTCCTTTATTATAAAGTTACAATTAAACCGTTTGGTAAAGCACGTTTTTATGAAATAATTTTACCCTTATTAGTAAAAAATTTACTGTTTTTGGTTCCGCCATGTCCTTTTTTTTTGGCCGCTTTGGGTGTATCTCAACCCAAATCTATTGCTATTATTATATATATTATTGCTGTTAGCTTACAGTCCTTCGGGGGTGCTACAAGCTAACTGTTGCATTGGCTAATGCAAGTTGCTACCTACTGCTCGATAAATGAAAGGAAAAGGTAAATCTGAAAAAATGAAATGTTATTTAGTGATTCAAATGTTACATGTTCTTTTCTAATATGCTACTGTATTCATCTATTTCTTTACTGGAAGTTTTTCCACACTCAAAACTCCTTAATTAACTGCAGCAGGGTCCGACAGTCTTCCCATGCCTCCCTTCCCTTGAGCAGGCCCACCAATACAGCCTCCAGCAGCTTGGTGCTGGCTGAGAAGTTCTGATTTTCTCCTGGCCAGAAGAGGAGCTGCTGCTGCTGCTGGGCAGCTCTCCACCTCCTTGCGGAGCTCTGACTGCAGGTCGATTTTGAGTCTGGTGCCATGGACGTGTAAAGAGCCATCCTGTGCTTTTTGGTGCTTTTTTTGCTGCACACGTTAAAACAGAATTGCACTGCATTTATTAAATGTAAACTTTGGCAACCTGTCTGCACCGTCAAACATGCTGGTCATACTTTGTTCCTTAATCCTGAAGCTAGAAGAAACTAGAGAACCCCCGAGCCAAGATAGAAAATGGGTATTTCTGTTTTTAATTTCTATATTCCACAGTTTTGGGACATAAAAACAGGAAGCAGCCTCACCAGAGTTATTGTGGAAATCATTAGGGAACCTCAAAGACATTTGAGGAAGGCATATGAACATAAAATGGAGGACTTTCCTTTTTTATCTATGCTTATTTTGCTCTGCACAACTATTGTGAAGTTCACAAAGAATCCTTAAAAGAACAAACTTATAAATGCTCTCCAGTGCGACAGGGACTTCCAGCCACACGGCGGAGCTACGAGCTAAGAGATTAATATCTGGACGTCGATTGCCATGGCAATGGTCGCATCTTCGAAGCATTGGGGTCAGCCTTTAAGATACCAGGCTCTCCACCTGTCCCTTTCACCCCAGGGTATCTCTGCCTCACGTCTCTCCCTCCTGCCTGAGAAAAATCCCTGCTCTAAATGAAAATTGCTAACATGTAATATATTACTTGCAGAAATAGTAAAAGCTGGTTTTATTGTAACAAAATAAAAGAAACAGATTTATTCACATATCAAATACATAATCTGACTGACAGATCAGTATCTGTGTAAAGAACATCAAAGTAGATGTTCTTTCCACAGATACTGATCTAAACTGATATACATTGCTGTCAGGACATGTTGACACTTTAACATCACAAGAACCACAGTGATTATATAAGTCAATGCAATAATCTGTGTCCTGCACAAAGAGTAACACCTTGAATACAAATAACCACATATAATATCCATAAAAAAAGTATACAGTATGTCAAACCATAGTGAGGTTCTGTCCCATTTCTCTCGATTAGGATAGAAACACATGATTTATACTCAAAAACATTATCATGTCAGCCAATTATGTGGTTTTTATTCTTTTTAAAATGATACAGAATGAAGACACACAATAACAACCAGATAACTGAGACAAAGCTCTTCAACAGATAATGACTGTTGTATGGCTCTATGAAATGCACAAAAAGAATACATTGAACAGTGAAAGATTTGTGTAATATATGAGGTACTGGTTGACCTTGACTGAAGAACTTTAAATAGCACCTTCAATATTCAAAGATGTACTCTGTTTCATTCTAATTAAGTGGTTTCGGAATTTACAAAAAGGCCAAGATATGTAGATATGTAAGGCCAGAGGTAAATTGTATGTCTCCAAAACTGCAGAGTATTCTTCGTGTAATGCCAAGGCAGTGACCAATGGAATGGTAAACCATAGTAATAGTGATCGTTGGGAAAGGGCTGAAGATAAGGCATACTAAAGCCTTAAAACTCTCACATTTGCTGAACTTGCTGCCAGTCTAGTAATTCTGCTTGCACTGCCAACTTGTGGTGGGTCATTACACAACCATTACAATACAGCACATTGCACTATAGGGCATCACAGACCTTTCAACCCACAGAGGTCAGGGCAGCAGTGCGGCTCCTCTTAGATTTAGAGAGGAGTTGCTCTTTAAACGTGAAGTAATCCAGGCAACATGCCAGTGTGTTCTGGGACCAAAGCCTGGGGAAGAAGCTTTGTCAGGACTCAATTTCACCAGCTGTCTTCAGATGTGTGTTCTCATCTCAAATTGACATCCAATCCAATGGACATTCCGGTAACACTTTAAAATAACGGACACCAGGGACCAAATGAGGAACGAATGAGGAACTCACTAATAGTGAACTATTAGTTAATGAGTAACTCATCCTTCTAAAGAGCTGGTCTGAAGTAATGAGTTTTTGAAAATAACTTAAAAGAAGACAATGTGTTGTCCTCTGGCAGGTCATTCCTTGACTGTGGGGACCAAACCGTTACCTTTAGTCTTAAGGTTTGATCAGGAATGCTCTACCAGAGGATCTCAAGTTGCATTCAGGCTCGTAGGACGTCAGATATATACTCTGGTGATAACCCCCTACACAAGGGATCATTTAGATTTCAAAATCCACTCTAAGACGACTGGGAGACAATGAAGTGATTTTTAAACAGGTGTGATGTGTTCTCTCTTGTTGGACTTGGTTATTAGTTTAACTGTTGATCCCATCCAGTTATTGATATCTGCAATGCCCAAGTGGAGGTTGTTTGATTGATTCGTGTCAAAGGAAAGATATAATTGTGAATCATCACTATTGAAATGGGAAGTGATATGTCTTTTAATAATATTATCAGGTGGTAGTATGTAGATGGCAAATAGCAAGGGCCAAGAATGAATTCATGTGAAACTCCATATTTTAGCGGTACTGAAGCAGATCGATAAGTCCCAATTTCCCCACAGTATGACCTTTCTGAAAATTGAGAACAGAACCAATCAAAACCAAGTCTGACATGCCAACCCAATTTTTAAGATGTCCAATTAAAATGCTGTGATCATCAGTGTCAGAGGCCGCAGATAGGGATTCCTAATGAACTCTGAAGCAGCTGCTGAGCCGCACAAATCTTTCAAAGACTCATTAATTACTGATTAGTTTACCATTTAATTACTGTTTTTGTGATCTAGTATTGCACTTTCATAAAATTGAGGGACATGTAAAAGACATATTTTAAAAGAGCCGTTAAAATGGAAGCCCACATCTCACCAGTGTGTTGAGGCTAAATAAGGGATCAGATCATTTCAACTTGTCCATCTGCTGGCCCCAAGCAACAATCAATACCTTTATGTTGTCTTTAATCCATTTAAACACTTTTAGACACTTTGAAAAGACTGTCACTGCGTGTCTGAATAAACCGTGGATGTTAGTAGCAAAGCGCTCTGTTGGCTCTGCTGGAAGTAGGAGGGGCCTGTCAGACAAAGTTACTGGAAATGTGCCTCTTCAAAATTACTCAAAAATCCTCTGTGCATTCAAATAAAAAGGTGACGTGAACACAAAATAGCCAATTTCCCTGAAAGATAAATAGATATTGAAGTGTGGGGAAACTGAACCTAATATAGCAATGAACGTTGCTGCCAACACCTTGCCTCCCTATATTAGGTTTGTATGCCCGACTCACATCCACGGTTGACTCTTTTCAGTTTTTGTTTCTGATGCTTGAAATACAGCATAAACATTTTATGCCCATCAGGACTATCTAACATACAATATTCATACACTGTAGGCACAGCTACGGGAGCAATCTGGGGTTAAGAGTCTTGCCCAAGGACACATCGACATGGACTAGAGGAGCCGGGGATCAAACCACCGATACTCTGATTGAAAGACGACTCGTTCTAACACTGAGCCACAGTCGCCCAAGGAACTAATTGTTAAGGAACTAATCGTAATGATAATGATAAATTAATGACGGACTACTTCGCAACTAGTTAGTACTATGTATCCCTTTATTTGGTGGTCATGAGATAATGATGAAGTAACAAGGGACTACCTGGTAAATACTCAGCATTACGTATGTACTTTACGGGGGGGGGGGGGTACAAAAACAGTAACTAATGGCGTCGTTAGCTTTGGGCTGGTATAGAGTCTCAGGAAAGACTCATGAAGAAAGTGATCAGTATAATGAATTCACATATATGTATTAACTAATCATACCTTAAAGGTGCAAGATGTAATATCTGTCCAAAAACTTTGTTTAAAACATTTTTAAATATGAACATTATCAAAAGAATGTAAAGGGAAAACAGTTGACGTTATGCCAAATACGACAATGTATTGTGCTGAAGGGAAATCTACTGGCAAGCAGCAAGGTCCTGACTGTACTTTCTTCTGTAATACCATTTGTATCTGGAGAGGCAATAGTGATTCACTGCAGTGTCCAGTCAGCTCTCAGTCCATGAAGAAGTACAGCTGCCCTGTCCACAATACATCCGTGGTCCATGTGCGTTTTGATAGTTTGTTTATTGCAATAAATACAAAGTGGCAGAAATGAGAAAACTACTCACACCCTCGATTCATCCTCCCTGCCGCCAGGAGACCGATTGGCCGGGGGGGAGCTCGAATTCAGCCAGTGCAAAACCTAGCACCGGGAGTCTGGTCCCCGCCAGATCGGCAGACTTTCTGTTGCTGCTGTTACAAAGGTTAAACCAAGCGCTCCACCAGCCCGCTGGGAGTCCCTGCGCTGGGGTTTTTCCTGGCTGACTCTGAGTTACTGTGGCACTTGACTCGGTGTTCGTCTCCTGGAGCTGTGCCGACTGCTCTCCTCACAGTAGGGTGGTTTCCTGGCTGGAGGGCGACATGGAAGTGCAAGTCTTTTTCTAGTTTCTACCACCTTGGATTTAATCCAATACAAAAAACCTATAAAGGCATACAGCGGCCATAAAGCCCTGTTAGAGGCCCAGTAAACATACAGTACATGTAGCAAACATGAATTATAGGACAACACCACATGTGAAGATAGCAGTGTATCCAATATCACAAATCAGCCTCAGAGAGCTTTACGATCTGTCCAGCGTACGACATCCTCTGTCCTCGGACATTCACATCGGAAAAGAAAAAAACTCCCCAAAAAAAAACTTTAACGGGAAAAACATACTACAATATAGTCCTCCATTAGGAAATACTAGATCCTTATTAATGCTTCATCTATTATCGAGTCATTCCCGATATGTTCCTCACTCATTTGTCAATTAATTAATTATTTACTTATTATTTGATACGATATACAATTTCATTAGGTGCTATTCATTAACTAATGCTTAATTAGTAGTTCCTCTTGAGTTCCTCATTTGTTCCCTGGGAACTACTCAACATGTTCTCTTACTGTAAAGCGTAAACCCAAGTATTTTCATATGCAAATTCATTGTTAACACAATGTGGTGCAGCTAGCAGTGACTTTGGCAAAAATGTCATGTATTTATATGAGTTTTGATTTGTCTTACTGAAATACATCAACCTTACATTTCCAAAATAGCTAGAATGTTCTGTTTGGGGAATTAAGATGAAAAATCCATCCACTGATATTCACAAGTTTAGTAGATGCATATGTATGAACTTATTTAGACAGAAAGGCAGAACAGCCAAAGAAATCCATGCCGATGCTGCGGGGGTAGCCTTCTAGCACCTTCAACGCCACAGGGTCAAACTTCCAATAGTGAAGTCCACTCAGGAAATTGGCGTAGCCTGTCAGAGGGCAAGAGAAGGCAACAGTCAACTGTGGACATTTACCAGTCACTAGGCCAGAGGCAAAAGAAATAATGTGGAAGTTCAAATGTAGCCTTTTCCTGGTCCCTGTTCTCACCATATAGGTCCCGAAAGGCTGCATCAATATGGCCGGGCACTCCTCCCCACTTGTGCATGCTGCGAGGATGAACATCATCTACTCGATTCACTTGAGGATTGAAGGGCCAGTAGGAAGCCAACTTGAAGATGTAGACTTTCTCGACGCGGTCCTCTTCCCACTTCAAAGCTGCTTGGATATCTGTAACAGGAAGACCCAACTGCCGCACTGAATCTGGTCCTGTAATCTTCCTTTCAGCATCAAACACCCAGTAGCTGTCACCTGTGTGGTAGAAAGATATAAATAAAACCCAGAATTGGACCTTATATCTTATAGACTACTGTCAATATCCTTTTTATATGATTATTTTTAATATGATTATTTTTATTTTGTTAGCCCACAGGTTTTGCACAGTGGGAGTTGCCACTATAAGTGGATTATGTTCTACTATCACTGATTTATACAAAACACCCGAAAGAAAGCAGTGTTTTACTGTCCTCTAGTTCAGATTCTCAGGTCTGTTTCACCTCTGACCAAACCTAGTTTCACCGATGGATATAGTTGAGTGTGGACAGAAGTGTGCTCAGTTGCACCTGTAACCACACACAGCAGTCATGTCACATGTACTGACACACCCTAAAGTACACTTTTACTTCACTGCAGCAAGGTGAGACGTTAAATCACTGGAAGTCAGCAACAAACAAGGTTTTTACCTGCTTTTAAGTTACTCTTTAACGATTTGTTCAGTAGAAAGATCTACCAGTAAAAACTGTTGCTGGCATATTTTCTGTCCTGTCATTTTTCTTGTCACCGTTTCACACGGCACATATGCAGTTTAAAATGATAAGAGTGACAAATTTACAACGAAATTCAGAGCTTAATTTTTTTTTTTTTTTTTTTTTTTTTAAGTCCTGATTTCACACAGAAGTGTAAAAAGCAGAGTCTGTCACACTGTCACAAGTTGATCAGCTGTAGTTAGCTAGCTAGCTAGCTACATGAATGAATACCTACTCAGTCGGTTGGCTGAGAACTCTGTCTCCATTTTTAAGTGTTTCCAGTTGACTTATTAAAAAATAAATACCATGTATAGGGGTTTTAAATCTGCACTTGAGCCATTCATCCATTATCTCTTTCTGTTTATCCGGGGCCGGGTCACAGAGTTAGCAGCCATAGAGGGGTATTCCAGACATCCCTCTACCCAGCAACTCTTTCTTACCAACTCCTCTTACCAGTTGGACATGCCCAGAAAACTTCTAAGGGGTACAGGAGGGGCGTAAACCACCTCAGCTGGCCCCTTTCAATGCGAAGGAGCAGCGGCTCTGTTTCGAACTCTCTCCGAATGATGAGCTCCACACCCTTACTCTCAGGCTGAGCCCAGCCATGCTATGAAGGAATCCCATTATTTTGGTCACTATCCAAAGTTCATGACTGTTTCCAGACCAGTTTTTTCTTTGGCAACCGCCTCAACTGCAGCCCTTCTTGCCAACCGTACTTGTCTGCTGTTTCCAGGACCCCTGTGATGGCAAAATATATTTTATTATTCCAAAAGACTAACGCTAAAGCTGCTGTAACATCCCGTTAGCTTCCTCATGTCTCTGTTTCCTGTGTTTCTGTGTGTGTGTGTGTGCTTCCCCTGATTACACTCATCCTACTCACCTGCCCTGTACACCCAGCTGCCTTCAATCTCCTCATCACCCCACACACATATACTCTCCTGCTTTGTTCTGGTTGTCAGATCGTCCTTGTTTGTTCCCTGTCTGTTCGTTCTGTGCCTTCCTCGTGTTTGCTCCGTGTTCCAGAGTTCCCTTCTGATTTGTTCCTTTGCCCTTCTTTTGTTTTTGGATATTTTTGCCCGCTCCGTTGGAGTTGCTTTAAGTTTGTTTTTGACCTTTTTTCAAGTAAAGATTCCTGAGTTTGAACTTCACCTCGTCTCTTGTGTCTTATCTGCGATTGAGTCCTTGATCTGCCCCTCGGCCTGACAGCTGCATTACCAAGGCAAATCTACATTGTTGCTTTATATTTTTAAACAATATGTTTCACTTGTGCTAGAGGACTAGCCAATGTAACACTATCTCAGGTAACTGGGATAGATTGGCTGGGGTTGCTGGAGTGTAAACTTCACTAAACCCAATCAAGAGTAGGACAGAGCCGCGAACATTAGCCTAAACTCTGGTATAGTAGCATGGTTCCCACACAGCGTGTCTGTCCAGAACAGAGCTTTTTGAAACATAACCTGTTACCACATATAATAATAGCTAATGATACTTGACGTTGCAAGTAATGCTTAGTTACTATTTTAGGTGTTGCATTGTCCATTCTTTACACTTTTGCTTGGTTTTTGTGTTTGGAAAAGGGATGAAAAAAAGACGAGTCTTATTACAGACCAATGCAACTGCTTTGGCATGTGGATAAATCTGCCATGCCTAGTCTGTGCGCTAGGGGTCTGATTCAAAGGGACTGCCCCGACTTCTCACCAAATCAGCAAACTTTTTGTTGCTGCCACTACATAGTCGGTGCTTGGGTTTGCGCTGGCTCCCAGAGCTAATGGCAAAGTAGTATCCTGAGAACGAAATGAAAATACAAATGGTTTTCACTGCTTTAATTACCCCTTCAATATCTAAACTCAATTTTTTTCAAATATGTCAACTGACACTTCAATGTAGGGCTCGGCAGTATACCGGTTTTAATTTCCCGTACGATATGAATTTTTCATATACGGTCATACGAGGTAACTTCTGTCGCTCTTCAACAGGTATCAAAATATATTATTCGCCGCTGAGAGCGTTGCAGTCGGAGCTAGTTGTCTTAACTGTATTGAGAGGGACCCCTAGTCCAACTCCTAATGGTCATAACTTTATAATAACAATTAACAACCCACAACTAACGCTCTTTAACAGGGCAAAACACCACGACACAACAGTTTGTGACACATAAACAATTTGTAGCACTAATAATTGTACATTTATAAAATTTCCCCGCCGAACTGCATGCTGGGTAACAACAGTCTGCTAACAGCTGGGAGAGGCTCTGTCGCTCCAGTAACGTTACATTAAAGAACAGAGCAGAGCGACGCAGGATGAACAAAGACTGAACAACAAAAGGTATTTTGGTCAGACACTTATGCAACGCTGATTACCGTAATATGTGTGGTATTTGTTATAAATGTACGTTGGTACATAGAGGGTGATAAGAAGCTGTACATGGAGGGACTTAGGACCCAGGGGAATGTAGGTGAAGGAAACAGGAAGTGACGGAACGGAAGACACGTCACACAAACAGCTGTTCGCCGCTCGCTGGCCGGTTTTCGGCGTTAATTAATTAATGCTTTAATGCGGAAAACAAAATACCGTGATATACTGTGAAACCGCCAGAGTCTTACAAAATACCGTGGTATGCAGTTTTGGTCAAACCGCCCAGCCCTACTTCAATCCCGTTCAGGTCCCAGATTATCACCTTTGTGTTCAGCTCTTTAGCGACACACAATTTAAACTATTACATTTTACTCCTAATGTTTTCGGGAATTTCAACTGACACTTTCAGTATTATGCATTAGTAAGTATGTATTATTTACCATACTTTTGGATTAACAAAAAAGACAACTTTATCCAGCACTTACACTTTGACTTAAAATTAAAGGTCTTTCAGCACTCCCATTTTGAGTGCCATTTCATCTTCTTTTGGTAGCCTATTGTTTCAAATCTAATTTGAGCTATGACTCCCAACTGTTATGGCATTTTAAATTTCAAATGTTTAACCGCAAGTTTTCAGCAGTGATCACAATATTGTCTCCAGAAAATTTAGTCTTTTCAAGTTGGCTTCTGTATGACGAACCTTGGAAGAACCAGATGTTGCCAGACTTGTCTTCATACGCAGCATCGATGTAGTCAGGAATGCCTCTCCAGTGGCGTGAAGCCAAGGCTGGATAGCCAGCTTGTAGCTGCCCATCACGGATACGCCAAACATACCGAGACTTAAAGAAGAACAGCTCTCCCCTGATCATGGATACAGCATCAAAGTTTGTTCTGCAGGCGTCCAGCTGGGGCACAACAACATACAGAGCAGAAAGATTTGTCTGTGGACTAATATGTGTATTCAATACAAGACTGGTAAAATCTTGAAACCATTAGGCCTGTCCTGTCAACTAATTTTGTTGGACATTGTCCAATATATAATAGTGTAATAATGAAAGTACACCCTTTCAAAAGAGCAATGGCATTTTCATTCTCCCAGTGAGCACCAACCGGGATTTCTAGTTGAAAACTGGTTGATATTCGGTCTGAACGTCTATGACCTATTAGTTTTAAAATATTGATTGTTTGTTTAGTTGCAGGTTGAAAGAGAAACGATATTAGTAACAACTTTTAAAGTTGCACTGTGCTGGATACTCGGCACCGGATTTGCAGAGCGAAGTGAACGAGCTAACAGAATAAATGTGAGGCTTCACACTAACTACATACTTTGTAAGTACTTGAACTACTTTATTCCAACAATGCAAACCTAAATTAGCACCATTAGTATCATTTTATGCTGCTCACGATGAAGGCGAGGCTGCTAGCATAAACGTGTGTAAGTTAATGTTGGCAACTGTCTTTTTGGGCTGTTGCTGTTGTAAAGTTGAGCTTTTAGGCCATTTCACGTAAAATACACGACAGAAAGCAAGAGGGGCTGTACACAGTTTGAATGGGCAGGAAGTAAGTAAAACAAAAGTTAAGTACAAATATGAAGAGGGTCAAAACATTGTTGCTTGGCATACAGTAATATGCAAATAATATAAAGTATTATACTGTGTAACATCTTTCTGTTGAAAAGACGTTTAAAAGACGACTATGGTCACTGGTGAAAAGACGTTCAAAACTGTTCCAAAAGTGAATATATTTTTGTAATTCTTGTTTTAGTTACAGATTTCCACCTGACACCGGCTCCTTGGTACGTTCAATGAACGTACCAAGAACGTTCAATCAATGTTCTCAAATAGTCAGTGAAAAAACGTTCACTTTTAAACCAATTTTGAACGTCTTTTCAATGGTGGCCATAGTAGTCTTTTCAACGGAAGAATGCTCACCGGGAAGACCTATTTTCACCGTCTTTCAACCGGCTAAAATGCGGTTACAACATCAAAGTGTCACAAAACACCAATTTGCTTGAAAATGTTGATGATTTGTTCAGTTGTAGGTTAAAAGAGAGACGATAATGATTTCTGTGAACGTATCTCTTGAATGTCATATTACACTAGCAAAATGTGGTCGACACGAAGACATGATTTGAATGCCTTTAATCTTTCATAATGTCATAAATATGGAACTATAGAGGTTGTGCTGTGTGTTGGCAGATTTCCACTGTGACTTATCCGTTTGTATTGTCAGACCACTCAGTGTTTTGGCCCTTTTTGTCTTGCGAGATAAAACTTCAAGGTTTTAGGAACCCCAGTTATAAAAATGAATGTCAGATATGGTCAGTGAGGGTCCTCTCCAGTGAGTAATAGTGTGTGTGTGTATAAATCAGGGCCATGCTTAGTCAGCTTAGATAAGGGACTGAATAGGGATGCAATCAGTGGACCATTCAATGGTTAGCAATTCAATGGTTAACCACTGAATGGTCACTATTGTCCAGATGTCCTAGTGATGACTCCTCCTACCCCAATCTATGCTCAAATCCTTTATAAGTGGTACATAACCAACTCTCTGGGTTCCTTCCTCCTTCAGACCGCATTGCATTCTGTATGACGATTGAACCTTCTCTACACAGAGAATAAATACTTTAAAGACAAACTTCTGTTCTCAATGTTTCTTAATACGACTCACTCTGTACTATTAAAATAGTTTTTTCCACCACAGCTGCCAACAATAAGTTTCCAGAACATTGTAATGGGAGCAGTGTACATTCTGTCTGTACACTCATGTAAAATAAGAATGTGTGCTTACTGCTGGAAGAGGCATGCGCAGGAATTTAGGCTCTGAAAAGACGCTCAAAACTGGTTTAAAAGTGAATACTTCTTTTTAATACTGTTTTATTTACAGATGTCCACCATAAATATGGCACAGCATCTGAAAACAGCTCCTGGGTGGCTTTGACAACGACATTTTAAAGGAGAAGGAGATGTTATTTTTCCTCTGTATTTAAATTATTTTTAATAATGATACTGAATAAATAATACATATAAATACATAAATAAAATTAAACCACACAACCAAAACAATAAATAAATTAAACTCTCAGGCCCTGTCAACAAAAAAGTTCAATGTCTGCGTAATGCCCAAATCTTATAATTGTAGGGAAAACCCTGCTTTTTATTCTGTCATCGTGTTGGCTGAAGTGTTATCTTATGTAAACAAACACGTATGACCACACAATGGGTAATATCGATTTAAGTGAAAATGATTATGGCCATGGCCATATATTGTATGATAAGTTGGTAATGTAAAATTGTTTGGGGTCATGTTCATATATTGTACGATACGCCGATAACATAATCACCGAGACAGGCCTAAGGTTCATCCCCATTATTATTGTCTCACCATTCCAATGTCAATCTCATTGGTCTCCGTCATCTCAGGCTGTGCGTGCAGAGGGGGGCCATATAGATACTGGATGCCCCTCTTGTCATCCTCGCTGAGCTGCAGAGGGTAGGAGTCACTGTAGAAAGGACACATCACAGCATCAGGCTCCAGGGAGTGCTGCAGGCCAAGGACATGGCCAAACTCATGAGTTGCCACTTGTGCGAGATCAGTGCCTAAACATGACAGCAAAGCATAAAGGGACAGTGACACTAAAGTAAGTTGTAGAATCTGTTACTCTTTTTTGGAATCAAATGAGGAACACAAATGATGTGCAGTTTTTAAATGAGGTTGTTCAACATTAGTTTATTCATTCATTCAAAATGTAAGCTTTGAAAATGATTGAGGTTCACCTTATTGGTAATGATTAGAAACACAGATAATTACTTAAAACAAAACAATTGCACATTGAGGTAAAGTGGTTTTAGATAATCGTCTAGAATTGTCCAGGAGTAGTGAGTGTCAATCTTGAGAATATGTTGCAGATAATTCCAAGTGTTTGGTGCACAAAAACCAAAGGCAGATTTTCCAAGTTCAGAATAAACCTGTGGGATTGAAGCATACGACATTAAATAAGCATAAGATAAGTTAGTAGAGCGAGTTTGGTTGGGTGGTGAATGTCCAATAAGGGATTTATGGATAGAAACATACAGGTGTTTATCACATCTCTATGCCAGAGAGGACAAACCCACTTTGTCATAAAGAATACAATGGTGAGTCTGACAGGGATCTCCGGTAAGGAATCTGAAGGCAGAGTGATAAACTGAGTCCAAGGGTTTAAAGGTGGAAGCTGCAGCACGTCTGCAGATTATATCACCAAAATCTAGGCCTGGCAGAAAGAGATCCTCCGCTATGCTTTTCCTACAATTAAAAAGGAAGCTGAATCTGAATCTGATTCTGCGTAAAAATCCAAGTGTTGTCTGAGTATGTTGATGATATTTTCAATACAATGTTTAAATGTAAAGGATTCATCAAGCCAAATACCTAGATATTTATGCTCTGTGACTCTGTCAATATTGCTACCATTCAGTGTGAATAAGTGTAGACTGTTAAAAGCAATATCTCTTGCTCTAGAAAAAACTTAAACATGGACATTACTGTCAGTTAAACAAGAGTCAATATTATTAACATTAATTTTAAACAGGACATGGCCAGAACCAATCTTTGTGGAACACCTCTTATTACTGGTAAAAAATGTTTCTGTCTTTGACACACTAAGATCCTTCTGAAAGGTAATTCTGAAACCATCTACAGGCAATTAAATCAAATCCAATATGAAATAGGGTCTGAATAAGTAAAGTGATCAACTGAAAGCATTTGACAAGTCAATGAAAACAGCAGCAAGTGTTTCACTGTAGGTGGAGGTTCCGGAAAGGGTGTCTGAGGTGTAGGAACACATGAACAGGCAGAACATAAAACAAGATCTCCATTCACTTCAAGTTATTTCAAATGTACTCACCCACAATGCTGCCCACTGTCCAATTCTCATCATAGTCAAAGTGTACTTCGCCCTCTTGGTTTGTCCTGGGGAAAAAGGCGTGGGCGAGGATTCCTCCAGGACCATCAAACGGTAAGCTGTCGCCATGCCAGTACCTACACAAGCACTTATTTTATTGTACACAAGCAATTTAATATGTAATATAGCATAAACATAGCACAAAAAGTAAGGACATTTGTGTTTGGTAGATTAATTCTCTGTTGTAACAATGCTTCTTGGCAATAAATCTTATACCGTTGGAAAGCCTTTTTCCCTTTTAAATGGCACCACATTTGTAAGGAACATGCATTTGTGGGATGAGTATGTGGGTTGCGCCCATGAAAAATTTGCCAAATCTTCTCTGCCAATGCAAAACAGCTTATTCTGCCATTGACTCTTGTTTGGTGTCGTTTGGTGGATTGGATGATTGAAGTCTGAAGAAAGAAGACATATTGGCAATTTAACAATTTATTCATTTAACAAACAGTCAGGAGCCTCAGTAGCGTGTGGAAGAACCATACACAGCCACAACAGCCTGGCACCTCCTCCTCATGCTGGTCACCAGCCTGCTCACACACTGCTGTGGGATGGCATTCCACTCCTCAAGCAGGATTTGTCGCAAGTCAGCCAACGTGGTTGTGTTGTTCACTCTGGCACAAACAGTATGTCCAAGCTGATCCCACAAGTGTTCAATGGGGTTGAGGTCAGGAATGCTGGCAGGTCATTCCATCCTCTCCCAAATTCTGGAGGTAGTCTTTGATAAACCCCGCTCTGTTGGCATTGGCAGAGAAGATTTGGCAAATTGTTCATGAGCGCAACCCACATACTCAGCTCTGCTGCTCATCCCACAAATGCATGTTCCTTCTCCGACGCCATTGGTGGGAACAGCGTTATTAGCTGCAACTTCCATATGGGAGTGTTGCAGAGTGGCGTGCGTGCGCTTGCCAGTGTAACACACACTTACGGCAGTGGCGAACGCAAGCCTGGGCAGATGGACAGGAAACCTCCTTCTCCAGGGCAGAAAACAGTGGAGGTTGGAAACCGTAGGCACACTGGAACGGGGACATTCCAGTAGCAGAGCTGGTGAGGGTGTTGTGGGCATACTCCACCCACAGGAGCTGCTGGGCCCAGGACGATGGATGCTTGGAGACCAAGTACCGTCTCCATCTCCTGGTTTTTGGACGTTAGATTGTGGATGGAATCTAGAAGACAGGCTGGCTGTGGCCCCAATGAGTGTGCAGAACTCTCTCCAGAACACTTACGTAAACTGAGGGCCCCGGTCAGAGACCACGTCAGTGGGGAGACCATGGAGCTGGAAGACATGCAGCAGGACCAACTCAGCAGTCTCTTTGACATAGGGGAGCTTGGGCAAGGGCACAAAGTGGGCCATCTTGCTGAACCAATCTACCACTGTCAGGATGGTGGTGTGTTTGTTGGACAGTGGTAGACTGGTAACAAAGTCCAAGGAGATGTGGGGCCAGGGCCGATGGGGCAGAGGTTGCAGGAAACCAGCTGGAATGGCTTGTGCTGGTTGCAGACAGGACAGGCGTTGACGAACTCCCGGGTGTCTTTCTCCAGAGTAGCCCACCAGAACCTCTGCTGCAGGACCTCCCTGGTACGCTGGCTCCCAGGGTGGCAAGTGAGTCTGGAGCTGTGGGCCCACTGGAGGACATCGGACCTCTAGGTCTGAGGGACAAACAGGCGGTCAGGAGGGCAGGAGCTGGGACCGGGCTGGTCCTCCAGGGCGGCCTTGACTCTCTCGAAGCAACCAAGATGGGGGCAGAAAGGATATTGTCATCGCCAGGGGTGGACTCCCCCTTCTCCACAAACTGGCGGGACAGGGCATCAGGCTTGACGTTACGGGTACCGGGCCGGTAACAGAGGGAAAAGTTGAATCAGGTAAAAAACAGGGACCATCTGGCTTGCCGAGAGTTCAGTCTTTTGACGGAGTGGATGTACTCAAGGTTCTTGTGATCAGTCCATACCAAAAGGGGCAGACTAGTCCCCTCAAGCCAGTGGCGCCACTCTTTAAGGGCCAGCTTAACAGCTAGCAGCTCTCGGTTACCAATCTCATAGTTCCTTTCAGCTGGTGAGAGCCGCCTAGAAAAGAAGGCGCAGGGGTGGAGCTTCTGGTCATTGGCAGCCTGCTGGGATAGGATTTTATAAATGTACAATTATTAGTGTTACAAATTGTTTATTTGTCACAAACTGTTGTGTCGTGGTGTTTTGCCCTGTTAAAGAGCGTTACTTGTGGGTTATTAATTGTTGTGTTATGAAGTTATAACCATGATTAGGGGTCCCTCTCAATACACTTAAGACAGGTAGCTCCGACTGTAGCGCTCATAGCGGCGAACAATATATTTAGCTGCCTGTTGAAGAGTTACAGCAGTTGTTTTCAGCTATGACGGTGTGTGAGAAATTCATATCATACGGGAAATTAAAACCGGTATACCGCCCAGCACTAGGGGTGACCGCAGGATAAGAAACCAGATGGTCTCATTGTAGTTACCAGACAGGAGCATACGGACTGGCGTGGTCTGGTGAGTCACTGTCCCCAATAGGTGACCATCCAGGGCGCTGGAACAGGGGCATGGCAGGGGTACCTGTTCGATACCCAGCTGAAGAGCTAGGTCCTCATCAATGATGCTGTCATCAGCGCCACAGTCAATGAAAGTGAGGGTGTGGGATCCATTAGTGAGCAGGAGCTGAACGTGGCACAGGGGTCTTTGGTTGGGGGAGAGTCTTGTGGTTCGGCAAATCAAAAGAGACCAGTTTATCTTTAATATATTCTGCTAGTCCAGCCAGAAAAGCGTCACACTGAGCTGCAGAGTTCCAGTCACTAAGGCGTGCTCTCATGCGAAACTCAATGGCATAATCAGCAACTGTCCGGTCTCCCTGACGCAGATCCATAAGTCCCCCGGTAGAATCAGGACCCTTGGAGACCGCCCCGCACACCTTGCGTAGTTCAGCAGAAAAAGCCAGGAACAAAGAGCAGGCTGGCGTCCGCCTCTCCCATTCAGCGGTGCCCCAGTCGTGCCCTGCCTGTCAGGTGGTTGATGGTAAAGGCTACCTTAGCCTCCTCCAAAGCAAACGTGTAGGGCTGCAGGGAGAACAGGATTGAGCAGTTTGTGAGGAATGAGTTGCAGCCCTCAGTTTATCCAGTGTTGCGCTCTGGGATTCCCACACGGGGCTCATGTGCTGGAGCAGGCGTCACAGGGACAGAAGGAGGAGCTGAGTCTGCATGCTGGGTAAGGACTGCTGTTAGCTGTTGGACCTGAGCGGCTAACGCAGCCAATGCCTGCTCGTGGACTGCTGCTGACTGACGTGTCTCAGCGGCGGTGTTGGTCATCAGCGCCTCATGCTGCTGGAGGATCCTCTCGAAACAGTTCTGTGGTGAAGAGGTGTGCGTTGGGTCCATGACTGGCCAGATTGTACTGTAAGGGATTGTGGGTTTACTGGGAGTCAGGCGAGATGGGTAGATCAGGGGCAGGCAGGGTCGATAACAGGAAATCAGTCCGTGATAGAGCGCTGGAAAGTCTGGCATTGAAAAGCAAGGAACAATCTGGCAATGTGTGTCTGAGAGGCGGGATTCTATATAGTGGCTTGATTAGTGATCAGAGGCAGGTGAGTGAACAGGTGAAGGGAGTTAGACTGATGAGGAGGGAGTGGCTGACAGGTAGAGTGAGGAGGGTGTGGAGCTGAACTGTGACAATTTCAAAAACTAGACATATTCAAGTTATTGAAAAACATGGTTGTGCTTTGTTCTACCTCGGTGTTATGACTGTGAGTCATGATATAGGATCATATATGCTGTGTGACTCCCTGCCTGAGGGTGGTACTATGTATTGTGACTGTTTTCTGTGTATCCGGTAGATGAGAGGCGATTGGACTGGGGACTCATGAGGCGGGACATATGAAGGCACCTGTGGAGGCGGACCGTGGTCTCTCTCTCTTCTCCCCGGCTCCCAACCGGACCGTGCTGCATCGCAACAGGGATCGGTGGGAAACAGATCGGGGCGACCACCCTAGCACATCATATAGCTAACAGTCCATGTAATGGTAGGGGTGAGCCGCTCTTTTGTTTACTTTTGTTTTCTCCTATTTTGGGTAGGGAGTTAGGTAAGGTGCCCGTCTTTTCTTTTGTTTAGTTTGGGAGTAGGTTAGGTAGTGGATTAATAAAGATTGTTTTGTTTATTGTTTTGGGCCAGGCTCACCCTGACGTATATTACTACCAATGATGTAAAGAATAATAAATATGATGGACTGTATTACAGCATAACTGGTCGTTCTTGGGAGTGGGAGAGAGGGGGGAGACCTTATACTATGCTGTGCCCAGGTTCCCCTAGACCGGGCGTAACACTCGGGTAGGGGGATCTCAACTTTTAGCCTTAGTTCCTCTGCTATGTAGAGATTGTTTGTTGATTTCATGAGTTAATTGCTTCTGGAGATATTAAAGAGATTATTATTTGGTTTGAAGTGATGTAAGGCCTTTATTAGACAATGGGGCAGGTTTTGGCTATTCCTGCTCTGAGAATTCACATGAGAAATCACGTGATCACTTGGGAGCTGATCTCGTATGGTTTCCTGTAAGTAGGAGTATGTCACTTAATAAATCTGTTATATTTTTCACTTTAAATGAAGAACCGTTTTATTCTTAAATTGGCTCTTTAGATCATCAGAAGTTTATTCTCTGGGAGTGTCTTGGCAGCCGAGTGGTTATAGCACATGCCATATAACCGTAACATCCTAGGTTCGATTACAGCCGTGGGACCTTTTTTGCTTGTCATACCCCCCCCCCATTTCCACACTGTCCTCAAATGAAGGCGAAAATGCCCCAAAATAAAATAGTCTTAAAAAACAAGTTTATTCTCTGAAATATAATGTACTATGGTTCCTATTAACAACCTCACTGTTAGTTGTGTTGCCTGCTGGTGCACCTTTCTTACCTGTTGAAGTCAATAATGATGTCAGCTTTCTCAGTGGTGACTTCTCTGAACGTCAAAGGAGTCACTGCACTCCACACTCCAAATGCCTCCTGGAGGACGTGCCGCACTTTGCCCTCACTCATCTGCCAGGGGAAACGTACAATCCTATTGGACGCACACACACATCCTATAAATATTTGCATCCTATAAGCTTATACAGCTGACTTGAAAAAAAACTAAAGACTGTAACTCATTCTGCAACAGTAGATTTCTGTAAATATGATCACATTATGCAGAGCTGCAAATTAGCTTCAGCTGGACGTCTCTCTATGTAACAATGTTTATCAGTATCATCAATGTCAAATAAATAACGAAATAAAAAAACAATTCCTTTCATTGTATACTAAAGATGAATACAGTAAAGAAACTAAAAGTTTAGTTTTTGACATTATTACTTGGTTTTCATCACCTGCACAACTCCATCCATTAATTATGTATTGTTTATTCCCAAGCATTTTGCTTATTTGATATTTCCATACAAAGTATAGAAAATATGGGGTTTCCTTTGCATGGTTTACCATTTTTGGCAGAAGTCAAACCAATAAATAGGATGCGTTATTTTTCGGTTGATAATGCAGAGGAAGAATTATCAATCAGTGGTTATTATTTAGGCCAACAAGGTATTACTTTATTATGTAAATGATGTATCCAAAATTGGGCAACAGGGAGCCAGTACATTCAATATGTACATGATGGAATATTTTAGTATGAAATATCAATTCAGGAAAACTTAGTAAAATGATACTTTCATCTCACACGAAAAGGTACACTGACTTCAAAAAACATATTACAAATCAACAAAGTATGTATGCATACATTCCCCTCTGTGTTAATCTATAGATAGAGAATGGGCTTTTTCTTAATGTTCAGCTTTGTGGACAAGCTCAGACATGAAAGACAGGATGCAATATGAACCTCTTTACCTCCGGCAACCACCACTGACAAAGTTAAAGGACTCACCGAACACCAAATAGATGGTAAGCTGTGTGTGCTGCTGTGTAAGGAAAAAGCTTATGTCACAAATTTTAACTAATTAATAGTTGATAACCATACTGGTCTGATGTTGTGTACACAGTTATAAATAACCCCCCGATAGTTCTAGTTGATGCTCTTGGATATATTGATAATACAACACTGGTGTAGGTGACGTATAGTGTTTAAAGCTCACTAACTGGCTCACTGGCTTGAGAAGCCCTACTCACGCAATACATAATACAATTGGTGTTTGGTCTCTAATATTCTGCATTTGTCCTTCAATAATCATTGATTGTCAGTGCAAATAGGTGAGTTGTCGGGCCTTGCAATTCTGACGGGCCAACAGCGTGTATTTTTTGTAGCCATGCTACAAGTGTGTTCTTGTAAAGTGTTCTTCTCGCATGTGAATGTTTAACCATATCAACCACTGTCACAATTGGCCTTGTTGCTTGTTATTGACAACACAGCTAGTTGTGTTAAAAAGGGAAGCCCAGCTAACTCGGACCCAATGAAATCAGGAATGACACTTCGCTAAGCCCCGTTGCTACTCTGTCAAGCTTTTAGAGTTACCATGGAGCCCACACTGTCACTAACTGCACTCCTTAAATAAATATTGTAAAACTATTTCAGAAAGAAGCAGACAGAAGGGTCTACAATGTGGGTTTGAAGAATAAATCCAGGATGTCAAGTTAAATCAGCAGAGAAACAGGTTAAAAATATAGAAGCTAAAGCTACACACCACAGTGTAAATGTGAACCAGCAGATCACATGACAATCAAGACACAAGACAATGAAATGAAGGAACAGCACTGTTCTTGTAAAGCCGGGTAGATCTTTAGTCACTGTTACAATCGTTACAAAGCAAAAGTTGCATGTGTACATTCAGTGTACTTTCTGTAGCTAGTGTAACAAAGAAGTGCTAATGCTAGTTAAAGGTCACATATCATGCAAATTGCACCTTTTCATGGCTTTTAATATTGTTAACATTATGTTAGCATTATCATTGCTCAAGGCACCGCTGTGCCCAAATACAGCCTCACAGAGCTGCTTATTTGGTATCAAAAGTTTCATTGAAAATACCTGACATGACATTTTGTGCTTGTTTTTTTGTCACTTATTCATGGTAAAAAGTATGTAAACTTGCACTTTTTGGCTCCTTGTAATGGTGTAACAGACCATTGTCGATCAAGGATCCGTACGAATCTCCCCCCGGTTCAGGACGCATGTGAATGACGGATTAATTACAGTTTAACCATCATAGTGTGAAATAAAGTTTTACTGACATTAACGGCCGATATTCAGTAAAAAGATGAGATCAGGACATCAGCATTTATGCTTTCTGTTCCTTGAATGTCTAACCGAAGGAGGTTCCATAGATTCACATTCAGGCTCTGTTCAGTGAAAATGAGTATTGGGCGAAGGTAAATTATGACGTTATCATGATGATCACATGTTATCTTGTAAAATGTTTTGGTGAGAAACTTGAATGAATCCAGTTGTTTGAAGGAGATCTTTTCACACTAAATAGACATTAGAGATGAATTATGTGCAATAAGCTAATAGAAGCTGATATATCAGCCAACCCACAGCGTCATGTTATTTTATTTCGTTATTTGTCTATTTTGCACTTGCACCTCTATTTTATGAGCTCAGTGCTACCTGATATATGTGCTCTTATGTTCCTCATGTGTGTTTGTCATGTAGGGAGGATAGGGGCTTACATGGGTTTCTGAATTTGATTTTGTAAATCTTTTAATGTGGAAGCACTTTGTACTGGCTTGAAAAGTGCCATATAAACAATATGCAATTATATATATACATTTATCATTAATACTACACTAGTTGGCTACTTATCTCTACTTTATGTAACAAAAGAATACGCAGTAAAACAATGGCCTGTTCAAGATTTCTTAAAAATAACCACAGCAGGCTGTGGATGGATAGGAACATTGTGTGTCACTAGAAGCATATCAGTAAGCCCGTCGCCCAGACAGGGATCCAGACAGGGATCCAGACAGGGATCCAGTCTGGGTGACTACTGTGCGGGTTCTTCTGGGCTGCTATAACTGTTAAATTGTCATGCAAGTAGCTACGTAAATCTGAAAAAAAGCGAAATTGGACTTGTAAAAATCTAAATAACATTTTTTTGTTTTGTTATGTGTTCACATTTTGCATGTTATTATTTATTTTCTAATATGCTAATATTGCTTTACTGTCAGCTCATCACACTCAAGTCCATACAGTGTTTAACCAACGCGATGTCAGTATTGTATTCTGGCTGTTGATTGGTAACGACAGAAGGGAGGACGTCCTCCCTCGGAGCATCATGGTATGTGTTTTGGCCAATCACAAATTAACATGAAAAAAATCTAATGGATTACATTAAAGTAACAGAAGAGAAGAGATGCTAAGATAAGTTAATGATTTATTTCAACAAATTACTCTGTTTTATTTTCTGCTCTTCCTTTTGCCTCTCAAATATAGAGGAGCTGCAACCTCCTCTGCTTCATTGAGTTTACATCCAGCAAAACAACCACCAAAACATTCAGGATAGAAGACAAAAGCAGTGCACTTACAAAGAGAATGTTTGTGTTTCTTACTTGTAAGTGAGGTCCGTCTTCTCCCAGCGCCCTCCAAACAGAGCAAATCGCTTCCTGCGCTGGTGTGTACTTAGACCTCCCTTCTTCTCCTTCAGGTTATAGTACGACAGGCCAACCTGCGTTAAAGTGGGATAGTCTGGGACTCCACAGCGAGGACGCTTCCAGAACTCGGTGTCATTTTTGGATGCCAGTACAGACTGTAGATGGTACCCTTTGTTTAGCGTGTCCTGTTGGTGTTTCCCCCTCTTCTTCAGATCGTGACTGTTGCTGTGAGGCCATACCTTCAAACAAAAGCACACTCATGAAGGTCATTATACAGAAACAGGGACTTTATTAGACATGATAAATAATAATATATATTATTCATTTTCCAACTGAATATTGCAATATCCATTTTATCCTTTAAGACTCATACAGTGCTGTGCTGGGTGGCCGCCATAATCCTTCCTCCTCACACAGTGAAGTCAGTTACTTGCTGATACAGTTTGGTTGTGTTTTGCTGATTTGACAATTGGAGTCAACAAGGTCAGCTGTCCCATTAGCCTATGATTGTTGGTACAGTTCAGCTTCAGAGTCGCTGAGTAGGCCATTTTTTAAAAGACAACAAGCTGGACCAGTACACATTACTGTGGTGGAAATGATTGGGTGAGAACTGTCATGGGGATGGTGCATCCTTTTCTTGTAGTACTATTTCTAGTCTTCTTTTTTTCCAAGGTCAACAAGAAAGAGACCAACATTTGACAAACACATTCTATCATCAGATTCACTAGTTGTTGGCAAATAGTCTTTAATTTAAATACAAAAAACATGGAAATTGTTATAGCAAGTCATTCTGTTTGTAGTGTTTCCATCTGATATCAGACCACCAACAGTTTGAGCAGGTCTAATAAAGTACTTGTCAGAAGGAATTTAGGATACAAATATACAATATGTAGCAATGGGGACTTCACATTTACATTCACACAGGAACTTTGATCTCTGGACAAGGAAACAGCCTGCAAAGACTCGAGGAAAACAATAATGGACAACTGACCAATTCGTGGTTCTGACCCCTTTTTAGGACCAATATCATTCATTCATTCATTCATTCATGGATGCTTTATTTATCCCCTGGGAAATTTAGGCATCCAGTAGTTACACATACAAGACACAGATACTATAATATAATGCGATTGAAAAGTAATTAAACAGCAAAAACAGTGCCAAAAAAACAATTACTACGGATGTTGATAAAAATGTTTGGAAGTGTTCGAAGATACGCCCGAGGTAACCAGTTGTTTCAGTTCACCCTAAACCAAAACGTTCTGTAGACACTGACGAGGTATGACTGAATCGAACTGAATGTTTGACACATCCTTAAGAGCAATTGGCAGATCGTGTAGCGCGACCGTCTTTGGATTTATTACTATTTTGCTCGAAAGAGTTCGAATCCAGGTGGTTGCGATCTTTCCATAAATATATTTTCTTCAATGTATTTCTTCATACGTTCCTGTGATGTATCAATGAATATGAGATGTGGTTTATAGATCTCCAGCAATATGTTTGTGAATGTTTGACGAATCTGTCGACAGAGGCAGGAAGGGAAACCAGTAGGTTTGAAAACCAGTAGGGACGTAACAGCAGCAAACGACCCACAATGCCACGTCATATGCCCACGCCAACTCTGGGTGTGGCCTGTTACTTTACCACGTTACATGACGCAATAAGATACCTCGAGGCACCACATACAGTACCATATAAACTCAATAGAATACACAATTACACATGTCTCTTTGACAGTTACAGTTAATGTGGAATCTGTGTGTACATACGTAAAAGCCATGTCGGACTCCGTAGATTTCTCTGGCCCCCTCCCGAATCTGACCAATGATGAAATGTTTAGCCGCATGTCATTGTTCCACCGCTGGCTGTCGCGGTGGTGTCCAGCAAACAATGTGGGCTTCGTAGACAACTGGGAAACTTTCGGGGGAAAACCTGGTTTGCTTAGGAGGGACGGCATTCATCCCACTTTGGATGGAGCAGATCTCATTTCTGCAAATCTGACCCAGTTTCTTTGTGAACCTAATCCATGACAACCCAGAGTTGCAGTCTTACACACTTCTCTGAGCTTCCATTAGAGCAGGTACTCACCCAAAACCATATAGAGACTGTGTCTGCCCCACGGCCACTTCAATTAATTAAATCAAAAGTAAACAGTCGAGGAGTTAAACAAAATAACTTAATCCAAGTTAATACCAACGCAACAGTGCAACAAAATAGGATAATTAAATGTGGACTCTTAAATATCAGATCTTTGTCATCTAAAGCTGTACTAGTAAATGAGCTAATATCAGATAATCATATTGATTTATCTTGTCTTACTGAAACCTGGCTGTGTAATGAAGAATATGTCAGCCTAAATGAATCAACTCCTCCAAGTCATATCAATACTCACATTCCTCGAGGCACCGGCCGAGGAGGTGGAGTAGCAGCCATCTTTGACTCAAGCCTATTATTAAATCCTAAACCTAAACTAGATTATAACTCATTTGAAAGCTTGGTTCTTAGTCTTTCACACCCAACGTGGAAAACAATACAGCCAGTTATATTTGTTATAGTGTACCGGGCCCCAGGTCCGTATTCTGAATTTTTATCAGAATTTTCTCAGTTTTTATCAAGCCTAGTCCTTAAAACAGATAAAGTAATTATTGTAGGTGACTTTAATATTCATGTGGATGTTGAGAACAATAGCCTCAGTACTGCATTTATCTTATTATTAGATTCGATTGGTTTCTGTCAGAATGTACAGAAACCCACTCACTGTTTTAACCACACTCTCGACCTGGTTCTGACTTATGGCATTAACATAGAAGATTTAATAGTCTATCCATAGAACCCTCTTTTATGGGACCATTATCTAATAACCTTTGAGTTCCTACTAACGGAGTGTACACCGGTAAGCAAGAGTTACTACACTAGATATCTATCTGATGGTGCCGTAGCTCAATTTAAAGAAGCAATTCCCTCTGTATTTAACTCAATACCATGCTTCAATATAACAGAGGACTCCTGTGCTAACTTTAGTCCTACCCAGGTTGATCATCTTGTCGATAGTGTTACAAGCTCACTGAGAAGGTCACTAGACTCTATTGCTCCTTTAAAAAAGAAGTTAGTAAAACAAAGGAGTTTCGCGGAAGTTAGTGGAACATGGCGTTCCAATAACTTGGAAGAATCTCGGTTAGTCTGGCGAGACAGTCTTAAGACATATAAGAAGGCCCTCCGTAATGCTAGAGCAGCTTACTACTCATCGTTAATAGAGAAAAATAAGAACAACCCCAGGTTCCTCTTCAGCACTGTAGCCAGGCTGACGGAGAATCACAGCTCTGTTGTGCCGAGTATCCCTATAGACCTCAGTAGCAATGACTTCATGAACTTCTTTAATGATAAGATCATAACTATTAGAGAGAATATAAACAATGTACTGCCCTCGACTAGTACCGATCTTTCCACAAATAGGGTAACCTTAGAAACAGCTGTAAACCCTGATATATGTTTAGATGGCTTTACTCCCATCAACCTTGACAAATTGACTTCAACAATTTCTACGTCTAAACCTTCTACCTGTCTCTTAGACCCTATACCGACTAGGCTGTTTAAAGAAGTGCTACCATTAATTAGCACGTCTTTATTAGATATGATCAACCTGTCTTCACTAACAGGCCATGTACCACAGTCCTTCAAAGTAGCTGTAATTAAGAAGCCCACTCTGGATCCAGAGGTGTTGGCTAACTATAGACCAATCTCTAACCTTCCCTTCCTCTCTAAGATCCTTGAGAAAGCAGTTGTGAATCAGTTGTGTGAGTTTCTACTTAACAATAGTTTATTTGAGGATTTTCAGTCAGGACTTAGAAAGCATCATAGCACAGAGACAGCTCTGGTAAAATAACTAATGACCTTCTAATCACATCAGACAAAGGACTTGTCTCTGTTCTTGTCTTGTTAGACCTTAGTGCTGCGTTCGACACCATAGACCACTACATCATGTTGCAGAGACTAGAACACAGTGGCGGGCCGTGCATTTTATACCTGGGCCTTCACTGCTGTCCTGCAGCTGAAACACCTCATTATGACGCCACAGCTACGGTTATTAAAACCTGCCGAATAAAAACTTCTGCACATTCAACAACAATAAACCCTGGTTTACTGCAAGACTCAGGCAGCTTCGTCGGGCCAAGGAGGAGGCCTACAGAAGTGGGGACAGGATCCTGTACAACCAGGCCAGAAACACACTGACGAGGGAGATCAGGGTAGCTAAGAGGAGCTACACTGAAAAGCTGGAGGAAAAGTTCTCAGCCAACGACCCCTCGTCAGTTTGGAGAGGCCTGCAAGTACTCACAAACTACAGGAGACCATCCCCCCCACTGAGGCCAATCACCAACTGGCTGACGACCTGAATGCCTTCTACTGCAGGTTTGATAAGCCTACCCTCACACCCCCCACCTGCCCCATCAAACAACCATCTACACCCCCTGCCTCCTCCTCATCTCTCCCAATCGACCCCCCACCGACACTGAGGATCTGCGAAGAGGATGTGAGTCGGCTCTTTCACAGACAGAAGACCAGGAAGGCACCAGGCCCAGACGGTGTGTCACCCTCCTGCCTGAAAGTCTGTGCTGACCAGCTGGCCCCCATCTTCACACAGATCTTCAACCGATCACTGGAGCTATGTGAAGTCCCCTCATGCTTCAAACGCTTCATGATCATCCCGGTCCCCAAGAAATCCTCCATCACAGGATTAAATGACTACAGGCCCGTCGCCCTGACGTCTGTGGTCATGAAATCCTTTGAAAGACTGGTGTTGACCCATCTGAAGAACATCACAGGACCCCTGCTGGACCCCCTGCAGTTTGCCTACCGTGCAAACAGGTCGGTGGATGATGCAGTCAACATGGGACTGCATTACATGCTGCAACACCTCGACTCCCCAGGGTCATATGCAAGGGTTCTGTTTGTGGACTTCAGCTCCGCGTTCAACACCATCATCCCGGAGATACTCCAACCCAAACTCTCCCAGCTCACTGTGCCAGCCTCCACCTGTCAGTGGATCACAAACTTCCTGACTGACAGGACGCAGCAGGTGAGGCTGGGAAAAATCACATCCAGCACCCGGACTATCAACACTGGCGCCCCCCAGGGATGTGTGCTCTCCCCACTGCTCTTCTCCCTCTACACCAACGACTGCACCTCAGAGGACCAAACAGTCAAGCTCCTGAAGTTCGCAGACGACACAACGATCATCGGC